CGGCCGGCGTGGGTTTTGCGGGCTCATGTTTTGTGGCCACTGGGTCAGGGGCAGCGACTGCTGGCTCTGGGCTGGCAGGCTTGGAGCGGGCACAGGCACTGTGGCCAGAGTCAACCCATTTAAGGGCTCCGGGGAGGTGGGAGGGAGAAGAGTGTTCTTGGCTGAGGGCTGGAGTGGCCACCAGGGCACCCGGGGAAGGATGGAGGCCCCCTATTTCGATATAAGTGTCTACACAGCATTTATTTTGAAATAGCTATTTCCAATTTGGCATTGTTATTCCTCCTGGAATGAGGTTTACCAATTTCAAAATAAGCGCTCCACTATTTCGAATTAATTTCAAAATAGCAGTTTGGCTGTGTAGACACTAGTAAAGTTATTTCAGAATAACAGCTGTTATTTCGAAATAACTTTGCTGTGTAGACCTAACCCTAGGGATTCTGATGTCTGGCACACTGCAGCAGAATGAGCCCTTTTCTCAGTGCCTGCCAGGGCTGCAGGCTTCAAAATCATATGTAGGAGCACACACGTTTACAATATGGATGTAAAACAGTAATCAATGAGTTATCTACCCAATAAACCTAGGCTTACCGGCAGCAATGGAGGGCAGCAGTAGCTGGTGTTGGGAGGAGCCAGCTTCAAAGCTGGTTTCCCCCAGCACTGTCTCCACAGAACGGGGGTGGGGGGTAAACAGGGGAAGCAGAGGCGCAGCGGTCAGGGACCCAGCATGAGTGGCTCACCCTGGGTCCCTGACAGCTCTGTCTCTGCCTTTTAAATGTAGTAAAAGCCAGGCAGCTCTTACTACATTTAAAAGGCAGAACTGCAGCAGAGTAAGTCCGGGACCCAGCATGAGCCAGGACTCAAGAGTCCGGGTTCTCAACAGGTCTGGGACCTATCTTCATTGCAGCTCTGCAGTTTAAATGTAGTAAAGGTCGGGCTGCCTGCGCACCTGGATCCTACTACACTTTAACTGCAGAGCCGCTGCGGGGCCCCTTAACTAATTCTGTACTGGATACAAATTGTATCAAGTACATAAGTCGATTACCTGCTTATTAACATCCTTAGTTTACAAACCATTTTGTCTATTGTCCTATCCTTGTCTCTCACCTCTACTGTATATATTTATGATGGATAGGATGAGTGCTGCACCCAGTGACTATGGGGTTAAACACAGGTAGGTAGCATGGGCATGGGCAGAAGAACCAATGGGGGTACATTGGTGAAATTTGAATTGTATAAGATACCTTTCTTTGTGTGGGGAAATTAAGCTAGGAGTTGACACACACAGAATGATTTAAACCCAGGTAGGGCTAAAAGAATTCAGGGCATGGAAGTGGATTGAACCAGGAAGGGATTCTGAGTAAATAAAGGGAAAATGTGTATTTAGATGTAATCAGGGTAATTTTCTTTATTTTAGTTGCTCAGTTTAAACTTCTTTGTGTGAATCCATGGCTTCCCTCACATTCACTATCAAAGGATGTATCTAGACTACAGGGTTTTTTCAAAAAGAAGTGGCTTTTTGGGAAAAAAAAAATCTTCCCCTGTGTCTAGACTCCTGCCATGTTCTTTCAAAAGTAAATCGAAAGAATGTGACAGTTTTTTGACCATGGTAAACCTTGTTTTACGAAGAATAACGCCATGTAATGCAAACTGTGCTTTTTCGAAAGAGAGCATCCAGATTGCCTGGGTGATCTCTTTTGAAAAAGTGGCTTGCCTTTTCGAAAGTACTGGTTGTAGTCTAGACGTAGCCTAAGAGTTGTTCCCAGAGATTTTCCCTGTATTTTAATTTGTTTTACTTAGTTGCTCTGTAACCCCTAGAAATCATGTATGCTTTATCAAGTATATCTTTTTTTTTTGGTATATATGAATAAAAATCACTTTTTGTAAGGTGATGATTTGATTCTTGTCTCCTGGAAAGACACAGAGGAGGTGGGGAGGGGAAGGTGTGCGCGTGCGCCTAAGATGAGCAGTCAGCTACCAGAGACTGCAGCTTGTTTCTCTCTCTCCTTTTTTCAAGCTCTTTAGGGGCAAAAGAGCTTGGGGTACCCCTGGGGAAGGAACTCAAGTGTTCCCTCCTGTTGCTTAGGGTGAAATCACTTGATGGTGGCAGCTTTTTGGGTTGTTGGATTTTTTTCCCATCAGAGCACTGTGACTCTGGGGAGTTTTTTGTAAGCAATGCCTGAAGAGGTATTTAAGATCTTTGTGGGCCTCCACAGAGGCCAGAGTGGGGAACAGCCCTGACAATGGTTTACTCTCATGCCCAGTGTATACTTTTATTCTGCTTCCCTCGTTGCCTTGTCCTTTGTGTATATTTTACTTCTCTTTCCACTTCTCCTGGCTCCAAGTCCTCCTGTAGTGAGGCAGAGTGGCCGCCCACTGACCTGGAAGGGGAAGAGCCCCTTTGTGAGCCCTCTTGGGCAGAGCTTGACCCCAACCTCTCACTTAACTGGAAGTCAGGAAGCATGGCTAGTACTATAAAAAGCCAGCCCAGAAGGTCAGATAGACACCAGAGGAACCAGTCACCTGCCCTGTACTCCCATGCTGGGAGGCTGAGGACTGGCCTGGACCACCACGCTTGCAGGAGGTTGAGGACTGGCCTGGACCATTGGGACCCCTAATCAATGGTGACTGGGAGGAAAGTCAACCCCGGTTGGAGCTGCCAAGCTCCAATGCCCCCAGAAAACCTGCCAGAAGCCCAAGTATGCGCAGAGGGGGAGAACAAAGGCAGCCCAGAGATAGCCAACAGTAGTCAGGCCATTTCAGAGCTCGGGTCAGTGTGTTGTGGTGCAGATCCCCGCTGACCCAGCAGCAGGCTATTCTGCTGCTATTAGGGCCCTGGGTTGGGACACAATAAACTGGGTGGGCCTGGATGGATGGCAGTCTCCCCCACTCTGCCACTTCAGGCCAACCACCCGTCTTTGCCAGATCTCTGCCCGAACAAGTGACCCAACTGTTTGTTTACTTTAGACTGAGTTTATTTGTAGCCCCACCCTGCACCAGGTCCTGGGTCCCTGTACTGTCTGTATTGTTGCCCTGCCCTGCAGCAGGTCCTGGGCCTT